TGGCACTGTAATAAAATGGAGACACCATCTTTTCCAAGCTCTCACTTAGGAAAGAGACTAGAAGAAGCTGATAAGCCTGAGTTGAATTGCCTGGAAAGACACAAGACGCAGTGGGGGCTGCCCCCAGCAGTCCTTGCCGTTCCTCTGTGATGGGCTTGCCACCCCTCTGTGGAACTGAAAATAGTGTTCAAACGGTATGAGCTTCAAACCCAGTGTTTAGTGAGTGTGTGTGTCCATCTGACCATGTGGTCCGTAACAGAGCACTGAGCAATGACGCTGACACAGCAGTAACAATTCCAGGTCCTGGCCTCCAGCACTTCACATGTACTGGCTCATCCAATCCTCATAACCTCACTATGGGCTGGATGCTATAGTCACGTCCACACTTCGGATGAAGGGGAGGAAGCACACAGTGGTTACAGAACTTTGCAAAACTCACACAGCAAGGACGGAACCAGAATTTGAAGCGGCTGCCTCCAGAGCCTCCACACTAAACCGTCACAGCATTCTGACATTTTGAGTCTTTTCCTTTATCCTCTGGGCGGTGGAGACCCGGCAAGGTTACGGTTTTTCAGCAATAGAGCAATAATTTGTGTATGAAGATCACTCTGGAGGAATCTGAGAAGACTGAATGGAGCTGGGAGAGGCTGAACCCAAAACAGGAATGGGGGCTCCCTTCCTTGTCAGAGCAAACCACAGGGCCTGAGTTGGCAGAGGAAGGAGAGGCTGAAGGGTGTCAGGAGGCCAAATCGCCAAGATCTGGTTACATGGGTGGTGAGTGGTGACAGAGACGGAAAAATCAAGGCTTTGACGATCAAGTAAATGAGAGAATAGTGTTTTCTTAGGGAATGATTTATTTCTGGTCATGCTGAGTTTGAGGCCCCAGGTGTCACCAGATAAAGGGACTCAGTGAGCAGGCAAAAGAGATCTGGGAGAATTTGTATAATGGACAACACTGAAGGTCCAGGAGAGGATGGAAACCCAAGGGGAGGCAGGAGGGTAGCAGATGGGACCCTGAAGGCCAGCATTTAGGCCAAGGCAGAAGAAGCAGAGAAAGAAACTGAGGAGTGGTTTGAAAGGTACTAGAAGAGGTAGGAGAAAGTGCAGTTGTGCAAGGCAGAAGAGGAGAAAGTTCTGGAAAATAAGAAAAAGGTCAACAAGGTGGAATGCTGTAGGAGTTGCTAATCAGATGTGCTGATAAAGGGCCTCTAAAGAGGCCAAAAAGACTTTCTAGACAACTGGGTTCTCCCTCCTACCCCTGTCCCTGCCTCCCACTCCCTAAACCCCTGACCACTTCTAGGGGCAGGACTAGTTTCCAGGCCCCAGGCGTCCCAGCCTTGACTTTCACAGACATAGTGAACTATCCCATACAAGCTTTCACAACACTCCTATGTCCTTCATTGTGATGAAGATAATAGACATCTTTCCTTAGGCTGGAGGACAGAACCCAGGAAAACCATACATGTTCTTTACCTTTACGTTTTGATCCACAATTTTCTTCAGATTTTTCAACAGATGATTATTTGGACCACCTTCTTTCTCATTAACATAAACTATTCTGTCCAGGTCAGGAAAGTTCCGGTTCAGATCTATTCCCTGGGCATTGCTTCGACCCACGAACCAGTCCTTCAGCTCACCAGGCTGAAAAAAAAAAAAAAAAAATCAGAGGAAAATCATCAGTTATTTATTATTATTGTTACCATCTATTTAAGGTCTTCATTAATGGTTTTTAAAATAATTAAGATTATTCATTTCAACAATATCCTCCTACAATGGCATTTTCACTATCTTACTGATATACACATGAAAGTATCAGGTTTAAAGTATATATTATGGATATTTTGAAAATATTCTCAACGAACAATATTTTAAATGTCAATAATAATTTTATTTAAAAGATATTCAACATCAAACTGCAAAAAAAGTCCATGTATGTTAGTAGTAGATGGCATGTCTCACAGCATGCCACTCTGTACTTGGTTTAAGTAAAATATTCACTGCCTCTGAAAACCACAGCAACTACTTCTAAATATTCAAAAGAATAAATTACTAAAGAAGATTAGATGCTTAAAATGAGTTTAACATGAATTGTTTACATATTAATAATATACCTCTCTCTTACCGTCTTTGTGAAAATATATGAGCTCTAGAACTTTTGTTTCAACTTTCTAAGTTGAAAATTTTTTGTTCAATTTGAAACCTTTCATTTCACTAATGATATAATCTGGAAATTTAGTAAATTTCCAGAATATTCAGTTATATTCCATAATGTAGATTTTCTTGTTTTCCTGTTAAATTATACTAGATCTCTAATATAGAGATAATGCCCATATTCTTAAAGTCATGTAAACTCAGATACCTTAGACTGTGAGGAATCAAAACCTATAAGACAGAAAATAGCAATGACAGTTTTTTGTCTATCCTGTCTTACAGTTCTGAATATCACCTTAAAATAGTCAATAATTTAATTCTCTATGTTACTAGAATTTTTCTCTCATAACTTTAGAAATTATATCAATATTATACTTACAGAAATTCACTGTCTGGTCATTTGATCTTTTATTTTTAAGGTACAAAACAACTTCTTAACTATTGATTAACATACTAAATATATGCTTTAATATGTTCCCGTAAAATAAGAAAATTATTTCAAACTGTAGAAAATAAAATGTCCTCCACCCCATCTAAACAAAAAGGGAGCACACTTAACTGTGAAAACATAATTACTTCCCAGCTTCTCTAACAGTTAAAATGTATTAAATTAATTTTGATTTGTAGATAGGAGGGTTTTGTTTTGATTTGTTTGTTTTTACTTTACACATCACATACAGATAAGGATTAAACATCAGTGAAACATTGGCCAAAAATCTTCATTCCTTGATTTCAGTAGAGGGCGCTATGATATCGCCTCATTCAGAGACAGCAATGGCCTCACTCTTCAATACATGGCAGCAGATAGTTTTCAAACTTCTAGATTTTTAGGAAGAAATTTACCTAGTCACACACATGAATGAATAAATATGATTCTTAACAACGAAAACAAAACATTAATTTAATATTGACTAACAAAATTTCTCATTCGCAATCTCTGCTTAAGAAACCCTCGCCCACCATCCCTTACCTTCTGCACTTTTTCCTTACCAGCAAATTAAACACCATATCATTTATACCCGCCCCTGCACTATCTGTAAGCTTCATGTGAGCGTATATGCTTTATATATGAGCATATATGTACAAACCATAAAAAAAAAAGCAAGCATGCCCTGTTGTGAGCTGGCCCACACCCACCTGAGATGCTGCCTTCTCAAAGCCATCAGGGTTGAGGGAGGGCATGATGTGGATCCGGGTGTTGTGGATCAGCTGGACGATTGTCTCATTCCCCTTTTGGTATTCGTTGCACAGGTACTGGGCCAGGAAAACCAGCAGTTCCCGTCCAACAGCCTCATTGCCATGCATATTCCCAATATATTTAAATTCAGGCTCACCTAAAAGCACAAAAATAGATAGTATGGAGACTTTTTCTATCGCACCAAAGAGAAGGCAAATGACATATAGTGTAAAAAATATTGTATAGTTACCAATTTATTACACAGAGCTGATAACTTCTTTGCCCTCCACAGTTGATGCCTAAGAAATCTGCCCTAAAAATAAAATACTCCAAATGCCCCTCTGTCCTTCTAGTTCTCTCTCCCCAGCTTCCCACTTGTTATGCAGTGAACTGTGCCCCCCAAAATCACAGGTTGAAGCCCTAAGTGCCAATGTGACTGTATTTGGAGATAAGACCTTTAAGGAGGTAATTAAGGTTAAATGAGGTCATAATCCAGAAGGATTGTTGTCCTTATAAGAAGAGGAAGAGACACCAAAGATTCTCTCTCTCCCCCCACATGCATGAATAAAAGGCCATATGAGGACGCCTCAGGCAGGCAGCCGCCTGCAAGTCAGAAAGAGAGGCCTCATCAGAAACTAACACTGCAGGTGCCTTGACCCTGGACTTCCAGCTTCCAGAACTGTGAGAAAATAAGTGTCTGTTGTGGTATTTTGTTATGGCAGCCCGGGCAGACAAATATACACCCCCCCCCAATAACTAATAATAGTACATCGTGTACGTCCTACCATTAAACAGTGAACTTTCATGTTTTCTTATTTAGTCCCCACCAAACAGCTAAAAATAGGTATTATTACCCATCTGTATTTTAAGGTGAGCAAACTAAAGTTCAGACTGCTTGAGAGGCCTGACTTCAGTTACACAGCCAATGAACCCAGGATTCAAATGCTGGTCTTCTCATTTAGTTAAATATCTACATTTTTTTTCATTCTTTTTTAAACCATAGTGACCAAAAGCATTAACTTCTAGAGCCAGACTGGGTAGTTTCAAATCCTGGCACCAATTCTTACTGGCTGGCCTCAAGCAGTTACTTCAGCTCTCTGTGGCTCTGTTTCCCCATTTATAAATGAGATCCTAGATTCTACCTCATAAGGTTATTATAAAGTTAAATAATGAGTGTCAGTGCTTAGAACAGTGCCCGGCAAAAAACAGTGCTATGTGTTTGCTATTTTTTTTAATATTATTATTATTACATCACATTGTCTTGTCATTGTAAGGTGCTTTACCATATACATAATCTAGTTTTCTCTTTATAACAGCCCACTAAAATACAGAAGACATATAGTTTTATTATCATTATTGTAGAAATGCAGCCAAAGAGGATAAATTTTGCTGAAGGCCCCAGAATTCAAACATAAATCATGCTGCCTATCCCACTGCATTTTAGGAGGAGTAATAAAACTGCAGAGCATGGCAGCAGAATAATCTTTTTAATTTAGAGACGTTTAATTAGTTTTATTTACAGAGCAGAGATTATTTTGTCTCCATTGGTGCCTAGATAACATCATTAGGCAAGAATGCCAGTTTAAAAGAAATCTATGCAGAATCCTAAAAATAGCAGACGTTGATGCTCCTCAAGAAGGGTCAAGCTTGACTATATCAGCAGCTCTATGTCTCAGTTACTCAGAAGCAATTCTGTTGTAGTCTCTACATCCCAAGATTTTGAAGACAAGGCCACTATTACTGCATTCCTATCAAAGCCCATAGCACATAGGTTTTCTATTTTTTTGGTGTATTCTGGACTAGAAACTGGTGCTCCAGCATACACATGTGCCCCAAGTCGAGCTGTCTGTTTGAACATTTTGGGATTTTGTTTGTACTGATTTGCTAGTACTGCATCTTGTAGAACTTCTGGTTCTGCAGCTGCCAGTAGTGCTTGTAATGACAATAATACCGTGCAGAGAGTCATTGCTGCTGCCCATTGATCTTTCAGGATATCCAAACAAATAGCCCCTGTGATGGAACTAATATTAGGATGCCATATTTTAATGATAAACCGGACCTTAGGGGGATTAAATGGATATGTTTCTGGTATTTTAATCTCTAGTTGATATCTTCCTCCTTCATATGGTGTGTCTGGAGGTCCTGCTATTTCTCCTCTTAATTCTGTAAAATTCTCATCTACAAGATCTTCTTTAGTTTGGTTTTTGCTCGTCTCCTCGCTCTTCAGCACCTCCATGAACTCCGGCTTGATTCGCTGCACCGCGATGTTGGCCATGTCTCCGCCCGCAGCTGATTCGTGCCCGCTTCCTCCGCCACCACTACAAACGCCGCCACCTCTTCCTCCACCGCCTCCTCCCTCAGCGATTCACACCCGAGCACACGAACGCTGCCAATACCACTCCTGCCGCCGCGCTCTCCTGAGTGTGCAATCACCTCCGCGCCCAGCCCCCCCAAATCCAAAATAATCTTAATTAATCCTATTGTTCTGCTTCATCCATCCAAAAGCCCCAATTTCTGCAGTGAACAAGATCCTCCCATTTACAAAATCACTAGGACTGCCCATCCCCTGGTTAAAAAAAAGAAGTTGGAATTATCCTTCTCTTAGAAATATGTTATCTAAATATTCTTTGCATGAGATTTCTGGGTGCGTGATTTGAGTGACCGCCAGCTGCAGAAACCATGTCCTGTGTGACCTCTCAGCCTGAGCTGAAGCTAATCTTAATCTAAGGATCAGGTGGGAGCAGGGTCAGGGCTGTATTTATATGTCCCTCATTTTTCACCTGGAGGGAAAGAAAGCCTCACTTAAACCACCTCCAGGGACATGCGCCGAAGGTATGCATGTGGGAAGAGATGTTTTCTTTGCTTCTGATTTCAAGTCATAATAATCTTCCTCCTTTCTGTCAAACTCACCCCCTCAGTGTGTGTGTTAGTGGGATTGAGGCACAGGGGACACTGCACCAGTCCACTATGGAAGAAAGCAAGAGACCAGGAAGCCAGTGGGGTCTCAGAAGCCTGCCTCCCAAAGTTATTAGAGAAGATTGCAGTGTTGGAGGCTTTCTGGTCCTGCTGCTTTACCCCAACACAACTTTGGAGCTTTGGTCACTCAGAAGAGCTTGGCCCACAACTCATAACGAGTATGTTAGCACATTGAAATTTTCTATTATTCCTCTGGATTAAAAAGCTAAAATTCTTTAATCATTTGAAGGAGGAATGGCAAACTCATAGTCACGTAGCTAAACTTAGCATCCCAGTGTTTCGTTTGGCTATCAGAGACTATCTTGTGTTTGAATTTGAATGCCTGGGATAGAGCGTGCTTTTTCCAGTCTGCCATAGGCCGCACCACTCCATTATCACTGCTTTATTTATTTATGTTTCCAGAGTCAGAAAATTTCCAATGTGGTTTTGCTTCCTGCTCTGTAGGAAGTCTCAGGAACCAAACTCCCCAATATGTCTATTATATTTGTAAGGAGGTAGTAATGACACTAGCAATGCTTTAGGTTGACATAAAGATAGACTCTAAAGGTCATTTTATAGAAGATATTAACGTGTGGAAATAAAGTGCAAGGCATATATGAGTTAGCAAACGAAAAGGAAAGTGTATTTTTATACACTTCCTCTGTCTTAAGGAACAAATTAGATCACTAGATAATACTGTCACCAGAATACAGAAGGGCTGTGATCTTTTAAGGCGACTGACATGTCTTGTGAGTTGGGGAAAAGCCACAGTTTAAATACAGCCTTTGTTGAATGTATGCAAAGCCCAGTGTCAGACACTACAGGGACCCCGAAAGCAAGTAAAGCAGCATTCCTGAACTCAAGGAACACAGGTTCTGGAGGAGGGCGCTGACATGAGAACAGTGTTTAGGAGGGAGGCAACCGTGCAGGAATTTTGGATCCACAACCTTCCAGCTTCAAGGCTCCAAAATGAAATGTTACCACCACCTCTCTGGCCTCTCTCTGGCCCTTTTTCCTCCCAAAGCCAGAGCTATCTTTTCAAAAGATAGTTCCCTCTACCTGAAAATCCATCAGCTAACTTCCCACTGGCCTTCACCATAAACACCAAAGTTCTCCATAGTGTTAGAGCAGGCAGGTAGCTAGGTGTGAGTAGAGAAAGCGGGGCAGGGGCCAGGTGGCAGGAAACCACGCCTCTTGTAAACAGTGCGGGTTCACAGGCAGATAAAGAAAAGCAGGAACTCCCAGACTGAAAGGAAACCACACATTTTGGGGGTATAAGTGTCCTGGAGACAGACAAAGAAAGGTGGAGAAAGGCAGGAATCTCCAGTGTCTGAATGTAACCTGTTGCTCATTATGCTCTCATTACAATAAAATTAGCCTTGCAGATAAGAAATTCCCATCATGCACCAAAGCTATAGACACTTCCAATCAAAGCTAAATAAGGACAGAAATCCCTCCTCCCCTCGGGAAGGTGGAGCTGGGATGAAAATCAGGGAAGACGACCCCCAAACCTCTCCTTCCCCAGTGAAATTCTACCCCTTCATTTGTATGGCCCTCATAACTGGCTTGCCAAAGAAACCCAGGGCAGCTCCTTACCTGTCTGCCCACTCTCCCTCTGAGAGCGTATTCTTGCTTAAATAAATTCTCACTTTACTTTCTTAACCTCCCTGTCTCCTCTCTGAATTCTTTCTGTGAGGAGACAAGAACCTTACTTTCACAAGAACAATAGGATCTCTAACCCCCAAGGGGCCTGGCCTGAGGACCTCTCATCTCCTGAGGCACCATCTCCTCTCCAGTCTTCCAGCTACACCTCCTTCAGCACAGGGCTCTTCTGTGATGCTGTCTACTCCTCACATATATTTTGCCCTCTCATCCCTCTGATCATGGATAACTATGGTTTACTTAGAGTATCTTTCATCCAAGTCCAGTTCCTCTGTTATCTTTAATACCTCAGTTGGAAAATGTACATTAATCAGTGTGATTATGTGCTTAATCACCATCCCACACTGTATGTAGTGGGATGGTGTCTATGTCAGCTCATGAGTGTATCACCCGTGCCTGGCATCTATGCAGTGAGAGCACAGATATATCAGTTAAATAAATTCATGACTAAATGAATAGAGGAATGGTCTTTTCCTAAATCCCATGCTCCCAGCAGCATGGTTGAGAGTAGTGCTTCCCCTTGAGATGTTCCTTTCTGGAACAGTGAAGGGAATAACTGAATAACTGAAGGGGGCCTGAGGCAGTGTCAGGGAGGCTGCGCCCCGAGTCCTCACTGCTTGTTGCCCCATCCCGCATTCTCAGACAGGAATGGAAATTCTTTGAGGAGGAAGGCAGCAGTGTTGTGGATAGCTGATTTCCCAAAAAGACTAATCTCCATGGTCACAGAGAACCACAAAGCTCTCTAGGCATGCAGTTCCCTAAGGCTATTATTGTTGTAAGGTCTAAACAAAGGGTTCTGAAAAGACTTTGCCTTCATAATGTTTAATCCAGAAATAGAGATAAAATGGAAGATTTTGGAATAAGCCTCTCGCTGTCAATTTACTTTCAATTTGTTTAACAAAGGGGTGACAGCTTTTCCTCAGCACTTAATTTTCTTTTCTGTGGCTATAAAGATGGAGCTTACAACAGGATGACATATGCATTCCTGTTTATAGTGTCTGCGTGGACCAGATGCCAGGTTTAACCAAGACGTCATTCCTTGTGTTTATAACTGGTGACGCACATGTACCCAGGCACTGGCTCATCTCTCTCCTGGCAATGGGAGGAAAAGGCAGCAGGCACTCTTTCTAGTACACTGGGGGACAGTTGTTTCTACCTTCATCTTACTTTCCTCACTATCTTTTTACGGATTAGTTACCCTGTTCCTGAGGAATCACACTTGCACAGCCTGCATCACATTGGCTCAGGAAGTACAGTTGCACCAATTTTTCCACAGTTTTGTGTAACTATCAGTTTTCCAGTCACTTCACATGGCACACAGTCATCAATCAAGCTAGCATTAAAAGACAATCAACTCACAAACCACATTCAGCCTGGCTGGGTTGCGTTTCTATCTTCCTCATCTGTGCCATAGAACAATTAATGTACCTAAGTGGATCTGTATTTTCATCAAAACAAGGTAAGAATAACTTATAAGACTTTTTAAACATAAGATCCAAACTTTTACTGAAGTCAGAAATAATAAATCTCCACCTGGAGCAAGCAAATAATTTTAAATTCCATATACTTGTTGTAACTCTTAATTTGCCCCAGTTGTGTATTGATGTAATTTGAAATAAATTAATCAGTAAGGAGGGAGATGGGGAGGGGGAAGAAGGGAGGGAGGGAGGGAGCTCTTGGCTGCAGCACCAAGAGCCTTTCATCCACACGGCTCAGAATAAAAGGGAGAAAAAGTAGAAAGAAAGAATTAGTAGAAGTAGAAAGAAAGAAAGAGAGAAAGAAAGAAAGAAAACGAAAGAAAGGAGTGATGGACAGAGGGAGGGAGGAAGGAAGGAAGGAAGGGGGGAGGGAGGGAGGGAGGGAGGGAGGAATGTATTTCTATTGCTTTAAAAATAAAACATAAGTATTTTACACCCCAGAACCCCACACCCTTAGGCTCAGCATTTGAGGCAAATCTGCAGCTGACAGCAGACTGGCAAAGCCCCCAAATGGGAGAATTAATGGTCTCAAGGTGACCAGAGACTCTGAAGCAGAATCCATACTCAATAGGCTGATCCTGAAAAAAATGATCAAATAAAGGGGCAAAAGTAAAAAAATAATACTGTCTGCCTTTCCCACAAAAAGCAAAATTTACTTTCACCTCCTTATTTGACCCAATTAGTCTCTCTAATATTTTCTCCTCCTCGAAATAGCTAACAGGCAGGCTGACTATTGGGTAGGGTAATTGATCAGATAAATTTCAGGTCCCTTTCACATCTCAGAGTCAATTATTCAATGACCTTATATGGGAAGAAAACTGCAGAGGGAAAATATCTAATGGAAAATGAGATAAATGTGAAAGTGGGTGGTAAATTGTGAAGTTCTACCTAAGAGGTATAGCGTCATTATTTAGAAAATATAAGTAGATTAAGGGTATTTTAAGAAAGAACTTGATCATAGTAACAGAACCCTTCATCTTTCATCCTGTAAATAGAGATGAAACTCACACTAAGATGAATCCTCCAACATCAAATTATTGCCAAAATATAAGTTCACTAACTCATTCGAAGTGTATATACTTAACTCACTGATTACATGATTCTTAGAGCTAGGGACAATTTCAAAATATATGTTCCTGGCATATGTAATATACTAAACACATTGCTGAACAACTATAGC